GTAATGTGAAAACTGGTTGCAGAAGATATTATTATATGCTATTATTTGTCTAATTTTATGTGCTCTGGTTAGTAGTGGTTGCTGTTGAATTATTGATTTTCATGTGTGTGAATAAATTATTGGCGGGTACGGGTAACCCGCCAGGTATGATTTACCCGGGCGGGTATGGGTCTGGGGAAAATTCCCCACCCATAACGGGTATGGGTATTCTGGCGGTACCAAATTTTTATGGCGGGGATGGGTCTGGGGTGGCCATACCCGATGGGGATTTACCCATTCCCATCCTTACTCCTCTCGCGCCGCCAGCGCCGGATTAGGAGAGGGACCGCCATGGGACGGTGGTAGGGAAAAATCATGTATTGATTATCTTTTCTTTTTTTCTGGATACGTAGAGTTTAAAGTAATGGATTACGTAGAGTTTAATGTAATGGATTTATCTTTTTTATTCTTTTTATCTACAATATAATGGCAGACTGGGAAATTTTCTAGAAAATAAAATGGATGTGATGGTTACAGATTGACAGAACAGCTAGATGTTTCTAATTAATGTGAGAATTTCTAGCATTTATCTTTTTTCCTACCATATCTGGTGATAATTAACGTGAAGGCTCCGTTGGCGTCTCCAATTAGTAATAGTAAGATTGTTCATACTTTGCGTTTGTATAGCACGGGTTGATGGGCTAGTTACAAGTGTAATTAAAATGCATGCTCTATAATTTTCTGTTTGGGAGAAATAAAATAAATCAAGCCTTTTGGGGCCTTATTGACTTGCTATTGTTGGCTTGCTATTACCTGGATCTAGAAGCTCGACATTATTGGCTTTAAAATTCCGAGCTCAAGGCCATCGAATTTGTCATCGACAATGTATATCGGTGGTACTGGAGTTGAATCAGCTCAAGCGTTTGACTTCGTGAATCAAGTTGCATTGTGACCGTAAAGAAGATGTACATTGAAGCAGCAACCAGGGAGGGCAACTAGACCACAGTGGTGCTGGAGTTTCAGCAGCTCAAGCGTATGACTTCATTAATTAAGTTGGAAAACAGTAAAGAAGATGTACATTGATGCAGCAAGTAGGGACAGGACGATGACGCTAATCAAGGATCGGACGATGTGGCCTAATAATGGATATGTGGTTCGTGCGCAAGTTACTCTTGTTTGACTTTGATCACTATTGTCCTAGTCCATTGTCTCTCTTTTTTTTTTTTTTTTTTGCCCTGTAGCTCAGCACATGGAATGGTTCTCTGCATGTGGTCCGCTGCTTTCAGACTGCACAGCGTCAAAGAAACCCGGTATTATAGAACAGGTGTAGCAAAGCAAATCAGTCAAAGGTCAGTACTAGATCTTTTCAGATGCATAGTAATCGTTGACAAGTGTAAGAGCTCCCACTTACTCTCTGTCTTCCAGATTATAAGACATCTTGCTGTTTTTAGATACAAAATATAATTTTGGAAGGAGGGAACATTTTGGTGCACAAAATCTTACTATTGTTCATTAGAGGCCCCAACGGATGGCACCATGTTAATTCTCCGAGACACGCTATCATTGGATCCTAAAAATTCCTCCAATAATGAGAAACATCCAGCCTTTAACTTGAGACTCAAATCATTATATTCAATAATAGCCATTGGATCTATTGTAATTTAGAAAAAAATTACCCACCTCTGCCATTATGAAAAAAAAATAAAGTAACCCCTAAATTTACATCTCAATTACCCACCTCTGCCATTACAAAAAATAATTCAAAATATTCCCCTAAATTTGTATATAAACTACCCACATCTACCAATACTAGTTAGAGGCCCCAAACGAAGGCACCATATTAATTCTCCCGAAAGCACTAGGAAAAAAGATAAATCCTAGAAATTCTCAAAATAATCAGAAAAATCTGGCCTTTAATTTGAGAGAATCAAATCATCATCCCGACAAAAGTCATTGGATGTATTATATTTTTAAAAAAAATACCCACCCCTGCCATTATGAAAAATACACAAAATAACCCCTAATTTTACATCTAAAGTACCCATATCTGCATGAAAGATAATCCAAAATAACCTCATAACTTTTTATATAAATTACTCACATATGCCATTATGGAAAATAATTCAAAACAACCCACTAAATTTGCATCTAAGTTACCCACTTTTGTCATTATGAAACAGAATTCAAAATAAACCCTAACTTTACATCTAAATTACCAACCTTTGCCACTATGAAAGATAATTTAAAATGACCCACTAACTTTTTTGTATCTTTATTACCACATCTCCCATTATGAAATATAATTTAAAACAACCCTGATGATTTTATAAATTACGCGCCTTTGTCATTGTGAAGACAATGCAAAGTAACCTCCTAGTTAAGTTTGTATTCAACCAAGCCATATATGCCTTTTATGATAGAGAATATAAAGTATTACCTTTATATTTGTATCTACTACCTCCAGCAATGAAAAAAAAATCTCCCAAATCTACATGTAGATACGCGTCATTCCAGTAAGTAAATCAATATATCCATAAAGTACCTATACATATTTATAAATTGCAGACTTCTACAATGATAAAATTAAATAACCATAATGCTAAGTTTCATCATGTATATCAATTAAACATGTTTACATTAGGATAGAATATTTATCTTAATATCTTACGAAGCATGGAAAAATGTTTACTTAACAAACGACCTATCAATAACACCAGCGTTCACCTAAATCAACCACATATTTTTAATCCCTATTTTTATGTACATTAGGATGAACATGATGATGCCGGTGCAGAGTTTATTTGTAGGGACCATTTACCCTATAATTATACAGTAGATTAGCTATATCTTTAAGAGTCCTAATTAATGGAAAAAAAATACCAAAGTTTTAGCAGAATATCGATCTGTAAGAGAAAGAAATAATCATCTCCGTCCTGGGTGATTTTTATTTTCCGCCCCGAACAACATAAATCAATTATATTATTAATTATTTTCGTTGATATCAGTCATCCAAGCAGTGATTTTGAGTTACATGTGGACAATCTGCGTGCACTATAGTATTTTTCAAAGGTATTAGACGTTATAATATACCAAACTCCCAAACAGGCCCTAATAGCTGCTGCCCAGATTCGTGGGGCAAGCTTGTTTCCTGCCTAAATCTGTATTTATATCTTTTGTCCAGTGCACGACGCCCATTCAGGTCCTCTGAGGGAGGATCAGATATGAGGAGCGCACGGAAACAGCGTGCAGTCTTCCCGCACCCAATTTTTTTTCGCTACTTGTAGCACGTGCCTGGCACACTTCTTCATCGTCAGGCCACGCGAGTAAGTAACTGCGTCACTGACTCGGTCCCCTTTGCCTTGATAACTATTCCGATCTCTCATGCAGACAGAGATAACCACGGATGAACTCAGGTCCTGTTTGGATGTACTATGACTAGTGATTAGCTTGGACTAGTGATTAGATGATAGTGATTCGTTAACTAGTGATTAGCTCATCCCATCCATCGGCTAACATGTAGTGCTATCTCAGCATAAAGACGGATTTATCCCTGATTGTTATGTGTTCCAAAATAAAAGGTCAGTAGGAACTATCACATCATACCGTACTAGCAACAGGTGAGACCAAGCAAATAAAAAATTAATTTATGTCAAAACTAAAAAGAAAAAAAAATGGAGACAGCTAGCAGCTCCTTGTCTCGATCTCGCCGGAAGCTCCTCGTCTCGTGGCTATCGCCTATCTGTCTCTAGCGTCCACCCAGCACACAGGGCGAGGCAGCAAACAGCAGCCCCGCGTCCACTCTTCACGGATCCTCTTTTCTCCCTTCCGCACGGACGCTCCCCTTCGCTCGTTCCCCGTCGCCGCCGCCGCTCACCTCTGCGAGCCCCCTCCTTCCCCTGGACATGGAGGCTGCAGTGAGCTCGCGCACACAGGGAGCGAGAGGCTTGGCCAGGCCGTCGGCTAGCCGGCGCGGCACCGGAGGGGAAACGCGGCGGTGGCGGTGGGCAGAGCGCAAGCGGATGTGTGAGGAAGCGGCGAGCGGATGCGGTTGCGTGAGGGTATATATGCAGTGTCTTTTTTTTCCAATCGGTAGAGTTTAGCCTCTAATAGCTGGGTTTAATGGATTAGTGAGGTAGCAACTAGTCTATGCCTTGGCTAAACTTTATCCCATCAATTAGTTCGCCTTTGATCTTTAGGGGTTAAAGTTTAGCAAATAGTTGTTAGCCCAAGGGATCCAAACAGACCCTTGTCTCTCTATGCCTTGTTAGAAGCTAGCCAAGCAGTTATAAGAAGCTGCGGTGTCATCTGGTCTAGCTGTCGTGACTCATACAAAATGTGGGGCAAGAACAAGAAACTGAAAACCCACCTATATATATATATATATATATAGAGAGAGAGAGAGAGAGAGAGAGAGAGAGATAAAATTGCGACATGTAAATTGTAAGTTAAGGACTGGTCATAGATCGTCCATATATAGAGAAAGGATAAGTGCCCTTAGCACGTACACGACCTTTCATTCACTGTAGAGCTAAGGCTCCTAGATATCTTACATGATGTCTGCTAGATCCTACCTAAGTACCTAGGACAACAACTTGCTGTGGTGTGTAGTACACAACAATTTTTCATAAAACTGTGCAATGAGGAAAGAATTGTGAAAACAAAAGGAAGTGGATGTTGCATGCCGCCTTTATGTCATGCTGATGGATGGTTATCTTGTTTCCTGGCTACGGTTGAGTGTGCTATTGCTGTCCACCAGGGGTCACTTACCATACTGCATGTGTGCCTTTTCGGCTGGAGCTTCCTTCCTGCTGCTAGCACTATATAAACCCCCTCCAAGGTCTCAAGCTTTCAGGCAAGCAACTCGAGTAGTGGTTGTCACCTAGCTCCTCTCTTCTTCGTTCTCATTGAGAAGAAGGATCAAGTGCTCATAAGCAAGCTACAAGCTTGACATACTAGCCTACTGATCTATACAAACTTCTAATCCTCCTCATAAACCCTCATACCAAAGCAAAGATCTCCAAATGGCTGGCCTGTCTCTACAGCATCCCACGGCCTTTGCCTTCGGCCTCCTAGGTATACTGTCTCAGCAGACCCGACTTCATTTTGTTAATTTATTTCCCCTTTTTCTTCTTTCATTGTAAGTCTGCTTCTCAAGTTCTCAGGGAAATGACCCCCTACCAGATAGAACATGTGTTCTTGCCAAAACATGGTTACTCTTGTTACAGCACCCTAATCCTTCTCATCCATTCCCCACAACATGTGCCGTATTGGGTTGGAAGGAGATATAGATATTTTTAGAGAAAAAGGGAAGGATTATAGATATATATAAATATATATGCATGCTGTGGTGCCTGTCCATTTAGGGTAGAAAGAGAAAAGGAGAAATAGAAAAGAATTAATTAAACAAATCAATGCTGGGGCACCACCACCCAGTATCCTTGTTGCCTGCCTCTTCCTCTTGTGTGGCGTGACATCATAAAGCATCGTTATCGAACTTAATTAAAGTATAGTTGCAACGTACGTACTTGCAGGTGTCATCCTCGATCTTGCAAAGAGCTCGATCCAGCTCCCCAGAATTCTTTCTTTAATTCTGATGCCTCGCTCGCTTCTTTTTTGTTAATTTTGTTTGTTTGGCGGTGCTGTTTGTACATGTTTGCAGGCAACATCATCTCCTTCATGACCTACCTGGCACCACTGTAAGTCTCCCTCCCTCTCTCTCTCTCTCTCTCTCTCTCTCTCTCTCTCTCTCTCTCTCTCTCTCTCTCTCTCTGTGACTAAGCTGTGCGTGCTGATCTGACCGTGTTGTATATGGCATGCATGGGACGACATGGATGTACAGGCCGACGTTCTACCGGATCTACAAGAACAAGTCGACGCAGGGGTTCCAGTCGGCGCCGTACGTGGTGGCCCTCTTCAGCGCCATGCTGTGGATCTACTACGCCCTGATCAAGTCCAACGAGTTCCTGCTCATCACCATCAACTCCGCCGGCTGCGTCATCGAGACCCTCTACATCGTAATGTACCTCCTCTACGCGCCAAAGAAGGCAAAGGTCCGTCGTCGTCGTGGTTGCTACTTTGGGGTTGGCCGCCCGGGAGTACGTGTTCGGCCGTGCAAGCTCATCCATGCACATCCTCACGTACCCATGCCTGCATTCTATTCTCGTACGTACGTGCAGCTGTTCACGGCCAAGATCCTGCTGCTCCTGAACGTGGGCGTGTTCGGGCTCATCCTCCTCCTCACGCTGCTGCTCTCCGCCGGACAGCGCCGCGTCGTCGTCCTCGGCTGGGTCTGCGTCGCCTTCTCCGTAAGCGTCTTCGTCGCGCCACTCAGCATCATCGTGCGTACCCAACATCTAATAATAACCAAATATATATATATATATAGCAGCTTTCGTGTGTACTGTACGTACGTACGTGTGCATTTGGTGATCAGTCCACTTACGTACGACGCTTGCGTTCTTTTTTCCTATGGCTGCTGCAGCGTCAAGTGGTGCGCACAAGGAGCGTGGAGTTCATGCCCTTCTCGCTCTCGCTCTCGCTCACCGTCAGCGCCGTCGTCTGGTTCCTCTACGGCCTGCTTATCAAGGACAAATACGTCGCCGTAAGCAAAAGAACTAAAGCTGCTAGCTTTATTTCAGCAAGCAAACCGCTGGATATATGGAAACAGAGATCACCACTAACAACTTGTTGTGCATGCATCAGCTGCCAAACGTGCTCGGCTTCACCTTCGGTGTCATCCAGATGGGCCTGTACGCGCTCTACCGCAACGCGACGCCCAGGGTGCTGCCGGCCAACGAGGTGGCCAACGACGACGCCAAGGAGGAGGCGATGTCGGTCGACGACAGCACTTTCGAGGTGCCCGGCGAGCATGTGGTGACCATTGCCGAGCTCACCACCGCACCTGCCGTGGCGGAGCTAATCAAGGCCCGCGATGCACACCCGGCTGATGCAGCCCTGGCCCCGCTACCCCCGGAGGAGGCCAAGCCAGCCGAGAGTGGCACGGCGGCGGCGCCGGCAAACGACGTCCAACTCAATGCTGAGCAAGTCTAGATTCCTCGCTCTCAAAACATGCTTATGTGTATCCGGGTAGGTCATAAATTAAGGCCGCACGTGAACTGGGCAAAGCAGTGCATGCCTGCGCAGTACTGGCACTACATGTTGGTGTAAGCCTATTGCTCACTGATGGAACTGAAGCTGCAGGCTAGCTGGAGAAGCGGGAGCAACAAGTTTGAATTTAAATGATGGCGACAGTGGGGCAGTAGTGACCGCGCCCACGTCGAGCGCGCTCAGCAGCAGTTTACTGAAGCCATCTTGTATCTTATTTTTAGCAGTTTTTCATTAAGCAACTGTGTAAGCTACTGGTATAAGGAGCCTGATGTTTAGAGGGTGTGTTAGCGCCTTTGGAACATTGTAACCGTGTCTGTACTGCTGCTTAACATCTGTGCAAAATAGCACTTTCCTCTAGCAGTAGCCGTGTGTGTACTCATTGTGTTCTTGCACAATTCTTGTGATCTAGGCTATCCACCGTGACATTTGTGTTGTGATTGTGATCCTTGACTCTAACATTTGGTATCAGGGCCAGAATCACGCGCAAAACACACTTAGATCCACCATGGGTGACCGGAGTGCGAGCGGCGGAGGGAGCAGTGGTGGGCACATCGCCTATCCACCATTGATAGCCACCAACTACACCAGTTGGAGCATTTGGGTTCAAGCAATCAACGAGGACCAGGCCGTGTGGGAGATCATCGAGCCATCGAGGGAGACAATCCGAGCAGGGCGTGACGGCGGCGGCGGTGGCGAAGATGAAGGACAAGAAGGCACGGGCTCAGTTTCTTCAGTGCCTGCCCGATGATCTATTGATGCAAGTCGTGGCGAAGAAGACCGGGATGGAGGTTTGGGACTCGCTGATGGCGAGATTCATCGGCGAGGAGCGTGTCAAGGAGGAGCGGCTGCTGACAATGAAGAGTTAGTTCGATGCGATGAAGATGGCGGATGAGTCAATCTATGCTTATGCCGGGAGGCTGACGGGGATGTCGGTGAGGTATGGCATCCTCGGTGGCTCGTTGGATGACGCTGCACTAGTGAAGAAGCTCTTCGACACCATGCTGGAGCGCTTCATCAACGTGGTCACCGGGATCGAGCAATTCCATGATCTCAAGAAGATGGTGTTCGGGAAGCAGTGGGGCGGCTGAAGGCGTATTTAGAGCGCACCAAGCAGGGAGCAGTTGGTGCGAGATCAGACACCGGTCAGGTGTTGCTATCTCAGTCAGAGTGGGAAGCTCAGCAGAAGCGGGCGGCTGATGAGGCGATCGGGAGGACCAGATCACAAGACGGCGATGGTCACGGACGGGGGCGTGGCTGTGGCGGCGGTCGTGATGGCCGAGGTGGTCAAACCAATCAGGCAAAGGAGGGCGCTAGGAATGCCAAACGAGATAAAAGCCACATCCAGTGTTTCAAGTGCCATCGATATGGGCTCTATGCCAATCCGTGTCTGAGGGAGGAGGAGGAGGAGGAGGAGCCGCACAATGTCAAGGCAGTGGACGTTGAGCCATCAGTGCTTCTCACAGAAACAGAGGAGCCAGGACTGCTCGAGCGCGCACCATAGCAAGTTTAGATGGGAGTTACTCTAAATGAGGACAAGGTGCAACCAGAGCTTCACTTCACCGGTGATGAAGAGCCCACTAGGGAGATATGGTACCTAGACAACGGTGCCAGTAACCACATGACTGGAGTCAGCTGAAGTTAAGGGAGATCGACCAAACATTCACTGGTATGGTGCAGTTTGGGGATGGGTCAGCTGTTGAGATTCAGGGAAAATGGTCTATTTTGTTTCAAGGGAGAACTGGAGATCAATGGGTGCTCAGAGATGTTTATTTCATACCAAAACTTAGAACTAATCTCATTAGCCATGGTCAACTGACTAAGATTGGTCATCGGGTTGGGATGGATGATGACGAGATTACAGTTTTAGAGAAGTATCCACCTGGACTGATCATGTGTGTACAAAGAACAACTAATAGATTATACAAGATAGATTTAGAATCTATTGAACCTACTTGTTTGTTAGCTAGTTTGGGAGATCAAGGTTGGCTTTGGCACGGCATGCTGGGTCATGTAAACTTCCAAGCACCGAGGAAACTAATTGACAAGCAGATGATAGGTTGTGTGCCACTGGTTCGGAATCCTAATTAGGTTTGTCAGTCTTGCTTGGCTGCAAAGCAGACTAGAGCACCTTTTCCACACTCAACACATTGGAAAGCAGATGAGCCTCTTGAGTTGGTGCATGTAGACTTGTGTGGACCTATCATACTAGCCACTGCACGTGGCAGCAAATATTTTATGTTGTTGATGGATGATTGCAAAAGGTGGAGGACTGTGTTTATGCTGAAATCCAAGGATTAGACAGTGGATGCATTTGTCAAGTTCAAAGCTCAGGCTAAAAATAGTTGTGGACACTTGATCAAGCTACTCAGGTCTGATAGAGAAGGAGAGTTCCTAGATGGTGTGTTCCACGGAGTGTGTGATGAAGCTGGAATCACGGGACAACTCACAGCTCCATACTCACCACAACAAAATGGAGTTGTGGAGAGGAAGAGTCGGACAGTTATGGAAATGGCAAGAGCTTTACTAAAGAGCATGAAGATTCTAGGGATGTTTTGGGCAGAGGCAATCAGACATTCAGTGTATTTACTGAATAGGTTGCCAACAAAAGCAATGGGTGATAGAACTCCATATGAGGCATGGAATGGAAGTGTCACGGAGTCAAAACCGCGACAAGCATTGTTGTTCGTCGGGTGTCACTGAGCGTGTGTCTCCGGTGGCTCGGGTGGACTCAAAAACACAAAGAACACAGAGAGGACACATCGGTTTATCCTAATTCAGGCTATCGGAGCCCTACGACTGCTAGCAGATGATCCTTTTATTCGAGAGTACCCAAAATTAGGGGGCTACAACAGAATGTAATAGAGAGATTTGGTAGGGGATTGCTCGGTGCTGATCCTAGAGCTTCGTCGCCAGTGAGGTCTCCCCCTCCTTAGAGAGGAGGAAGACGATGGAAGAGAGGAGCTTCCGGTACTCCTCTCGGGGTGGCTCTACTCTCAGTGCCGAGCTTGAGCTGTTCGATGAGGACAGGAATGATCTATTTGGAATCGTCCTTCCACTCTCTAGGATCCGACCTCCCCTTATATATCGAGGTAGGTCGGGTACATGGTGGTTTGGGGGAGTTTAGCCTATGGTCTACATGTGTTGGAGTCTAGGAGGGTCTTGCAATAGCGTGGATGGATCTTGGTGTTGTCGTAGAGCCGAAGAAGCTCTGGGCATCGTCTAACTCCTCTGTTCTAACACGTTGAGTGTCAGGCTCTGTCAGCTTGGACCGGCCTCCACCAGGTGCACCTTCTGGAGGCTTCTTGGCAGTGAAGTCATCCGGCTTGAGAGCCCACGAGCCCTTGATGCCAGCGGAGGGGTTTGTCCTCTTAGGTCAAGCCCTGTGCGTGACCCTGTCAGAGGAGTGGTTGATAGCACTGCATCCATTGGGCAGCGCTAGGGAGCCCCCGAGCTGTGGAGGCTTGGGGCTCTTGTCTCTAGCCCAAGCCTTGGCTAGCGCTCAAGGCCAGGAGGGGGCCAAGGATTGGGTTTAGACTCTGGTCGATCGGGGGCCTAAGGCTCGAGCGATCCCCCAAGTCCCGAGTAGAGGCGGAGGGCGTGCTCGGGATTGGCCCAATCCTTGGGCGAAAGGTGTATGCAAGCACACCTGAGGAGTGTAGCTCCTTAGCCCCCGGGTGGTCCTAGAGGGATCGCTCGGGGGGGTCTCTGAATTGGGAACCTTTGATCCCAAGGCTTAACATACCCCTATGTTAGGATCTCATCAGGAGCCCCGAGCCCTTTGTGGCCTGACTTAGTCGAGTTTGTGATGGCGACGAAAGGTTGAGTTCAATCTTTTGTTGACTGGGCCAACTGTAGCGGGGATGGCTTCTGCGGATGAGAGTTTGGTGCCGCTCGTGGGCCTTCTCAAGTATGGTGGGAGTGTTCATCTATCGAGGCCAAGTGGTGGTGTTGACCCGCGCTAACCCCTTCTGCATAAGTTTTGGAGCCCAAATGAAGACCCGATGAACTCATTTGGGAGTTGCCATCCTTGGGCCTGGAAGTGCCCTCCTTTTCTGACCAAGGCCTGCCATAGGTCGAGTGATCGAGAACGTATGGGCCCTTTATCGGGGCCACCTGGTCACCCCTTGCGCCATGCCTTTCTAGGGGCTCGGTAGCACTCCCAGGTCTTCTCGAGCCAACCTTAGCAACATAGGTCGGGGTGCAGAGGTTGATACTTCTTAACATCTAGTGGAGGAATTCCGCAAGCGCACAGAACTATCATGTAGTACTTTGCTCAATGAGTACCGAATATCGAATTTATATTTTCCCAAAGGAAGGCGGGAGGCTAAGTTATAGATTGATCGCTAGAATTGCTAAAGGGAAGGTGTGTCCTTAGCCTAAGTAGTTGAATGGTAATGATGGTTGTGAGTGAACGAATGGGTGAACTGTTAAACAAGCTAAACTAGAGGTAGGATAGCTAGGTGGGAGAGCGAGCAATTTATCTTAAGTAACAAA